CCCAGCCAGAGGGGAGCCAGCGCTGCCTCCCCGGGAGGGGCACTCTCTCCGCCACCAGCAGGTGTGGCCGGGCCCACAGCCGCCGGCCACAGGTCCAGCTTCCTCCACACCCACCATGCTGGGAGCCCACTGGACGATGCAATCCTTGCAGACGGAGCAGCATTTTTTTCTAGGGTGGTGGGGAGCTGAGGAAGAGGATGCTGGCAGAAATGGGACATGGGGCAAAAAGACCTCTGTCATCTCTGTTCTCAGCTGACCCAGAGTTCAGAGTCTCTTCCTGTCCCCACGCCTCAAAACCACTAGGCCCCTGAAGATTTCCTCAGAGGGAGGGGGGAGCAGGTGGGAGGCGCTTTGAAGCCTGAGACCCTGCTTTTCGGCCTTGCCCACGCTCCTGCCCAAAGCCACAACAAAGACCACGAATCCTGCCCCCCAGCCACAAACTGCTCCTTCCTCCTGGGCGCCTGCTGGCCCCTGAGGTCTGGTGGCGCCTTTATGGGAATGACAGCCCGGGGTCAGGAGCTCAGATGGCAGCCCAAGGGGGGGGGGGGGGGGCGGGTAAGAACCTATCCCAGGCCCCAGCCAACTGGGGTGTCTGCAAGGTACCCCAGAGGACATGCTGTGCCTGGAGTGTGCCAGGGCAGGCAGGGAGGGGCTCCATCCTCTGCCGAATTCCAGGAAAGGCCCTGGCAGTCAGCACAGGCCTGGGCTCCAGGGCCTTGGAGGGTGGGGCAGGGGGAGGGACCCTAGGCTGTGAAGTGCCTCACCTGGGCCTCATTATCCCCCTTACACCCCCCCTTGGGGCCCATTTGATGGCATCTCTGGCACCCTCTGTAGCCAAGGGTAAGGAGGTGCATGCCAACGCAGGCCTGGGCCATGGACCACCTTCCCACACATACAGGCACACTTCCCACACATCTGCTCACCCATCCAACCCTCACAGACTCTCCCAGGCAGGAGGCACCCTCAGTGGCACTGACTTAAACTTCTACCTGATTTATGAAATCTGTCCATGATATCCCAGGTCAGTGACTGCTCTGAAGCTGTTTGCACACCTATAACGACAGGGACACTCTCACAATGCAGCCCCCTCCCCTTCTGGACTTCCCTGTCCCAGGCCCAGTCACATGCCTTCACATAGCCTAGAAGTGACTGAACTTATCATGTTCCTCACACCAGCTCCTCCCCTTTGTCCACCACGGCCCTCCCATCCCCCCAGATCACCATGATGGTGGACTAACTTTTAACTATTTTCTCCCCTTTACCATCCTATATCTGATCGATTACCAAATTATTTCCTCTGTTGCTTTTATTACAAGACGCACTGTTATTGTTCTGTCACCTCTTCTCCAGCCCTATCGATTACCTTTGGCCCAAATTCCCACAGCAGCTGCCACACTGTCCTTTCTAGCCCAGGTTTTTCCTTCTTCCTGCACACCCTGCTGGAATAATCTTTCTCAAACACTGTTTATTGTGTGTGTTATCTACTTTGGACTCCTCATTAAGCACACAGGGTACACCAGCTTCTAACCTGCGTGTTCCATAGGAAGGGCCCAGGTCACAGAGTCCAGCACAGGCTGGCGCGGAGCAGGAGAGCAGCAAAGTGACCCATCTGTGTGGCTGCTCCTTTCTCATCGGAACAGTTCGCCCTCCCGGCTTGGTCTCCCCAGCCCCATCAAGCCTGTTGGCTTCCTGATCTCACTCGGGTCCCTTGGTTTTGAGGAGCCACTATTTTTCATTTCCCAAAACCTTCAGAGAGGGGTTGGGAAGGGAGACGCCGACATCCAGGTTGGAGCCAAGTACCAACTGCAAAGACCTTGGGGTGCAGGGTGGAATGAGTGCAGCTGCCCGCCGGGTCTCTGCTGCAGTAAGAAACGGAAGCGCTGAGGAGGGTGGAAGGAGAAAGGGAGTGTGGGCAACCAGTGGCTTTGGGTTTACAGAGGGATCTCGCCATGGAGATTCCAGCCTGCCTAGTTCTGGGTCCCTGGTCCGATGCCTTTAGATTGTTCTCTTTCTTGACAGCACATCACACACACACACACACACACACACACGCACGCACGCACACACACACACACACACAGCCAATCACCACCTCAAACCCCCACTCAAGTCCACCTCCTTCCGAAAGGCTCTCACAACCTCCACCTCACTTTGATCATTTTGTTTCCAATTTCCCTCTGAGCGCTATGAGCTGTCTTCAATCTTTTCTATATTTTATTGTTTAGTTATTACCTGTAGTACTTTCAACCCCACAGATAATAAACTCCTTTATGGCAGAGACGGTGTCTTTATTTATTTAACATCATTTATTTACTTGGAGGAGGAAGCAGAGGTGAGACCAGGCAATCAGGCTTGGGAGGCCACATAAAGTTGAGTCTGGATCCTGGTTCCAAACACTTTGCTGTTTGGCCCTGGGTGAGTCTCTTAACCTCTCTGACCCAGTTTCTTCATCTGGAAAAGGCACTGGTGATACTTGCAGAATGAGGGGAAAAGACCACGGGCGAATGCCAGGCCTGGGCCGCGGACCGCCTTCCCACACATACGGGCCTGTTTCCCACACGTCTGCTCGCAGCAGGCACTTGTGCAGAGTGAAGACAATAGCTTGCCTCCCTTTCCTGCACGGTTGGAGCCTTCCACGAATTCCAAGTCAAGGTTCCTTAACTAACCGCCCCCCCCCCGCCCCCCTCACACACACACACTTTTAAGCTCGAAGAGGGACATTATCAGTAACGACACCGGTAATCCCGGGACGTATGGCCACAGACCCTAACTCAGCAACCGGTGAGGCCAGGGCTCCGTTCGAGCGCCGCGGACACCCAGTGCCTAGGCCTGGCGCCGAGCCCAGTGCCAGCTGAATAATGAAAGTTTGTTGAATGAACCAGCGAACAGAACCAGTCCTTCCACCAGCGAGTCAATAAGAAAAGCTTGAAAAGCCCGCCCCCGCCTCCTTCCACCCCCATCCGAGTCCCGAAGCCTCTGGCAGCCTCCAGAAGCCTCCTTTCTCGAAGGTCTCGTCTCCAGCTCTCCCGCCCGCTCCCCCGCCCCGGTTGCCTTGACAACAGTGACGTATCCGAGAGGGGCGTCGCCTCTCCATCCTCGGCCGGAGCCTGGGGCCCCTTCTCATGCCCCTGCTGGGGAGAGGGTGAGGCTGGGGTCCTCGACCTCCCGGCTCCCCCGGCCTGGGGCGACC